CATTAGAACAACCTATATGCTTCATGTTTTTTGCTGCATTGACTCAGCAAATGTAGTATACAAAATTTTATTGCTTGAGATTTTTTGTTTTTCTTCTTAAATACAACATTTGAGTGTGCTGGGTTTTTTTTCACAAAACTTTTCAGCTTAGTTTTTGAGCAGATCTGTATCTGCTTTCACGGATAATGTGAGCAGAAACTAGGATAAATAAGTAGAATTCCTAGGAAATGTAGACTCAACTTTTGAGAAACTGTTGCGTATTAAAACCTTTCTGAACTTGGAATCCATGACAACTTGCAACTTATGTTTGAGTGAATATTTGAGGCCAGCAGATATGTTGCTACATCAGCTTTGGGCACTTGGAGGATTAGTTTTACATCTTTGATTCAGACTGTTTCACATCACTCAGCTAGACTGGGCTAGGGCTCATTTTGGAGTCTTAGAGATAATTGTTGTAGACAAGACTCTGTAGTATCAAATGGAGTGAGAGAAAGCCCCCATGAATGACTACTTAAATGRGGTCACTGAATACACTGAGCATTTTGTAAGTTGTATTCATAGCAGGTGATTTTAGCTTCACATTGCTCTGAAGGTCTGTGCAAGAAAAGAAACTGCTGTTTGTGTTAATATCTTCTTACTTTGACACTTAATTCAGTTATGGACAATTTTTGTCAAAAATTTTTGATAACAGTATAACTTTATTGCCTTGGATTCTCCTGGTCTATGATGAGTAGAGGCAGTGCAGACATTACTGGAGACTTTTTTGGCATGTATGAGATGTAGGAGGTGAAAACCATCTTATCTGCTAGTATTAAACACAATTGACTGTAAAGAAGACATGGTTAAGTTTTTTTTTTCTCTTTGCTCATATTTAGAGACATGGACTGGTAAAATCCAGCTCAGAAAGATCTGCTTATGYTTTCTCTTATCAAGAGAGCTATGGGAAACATAACATCTGGAAGGAATATATGTGTCAGTAACTCACATTTGTCCTCAGGGTTGTTGAGGACCATGCATAACACCACTAGTGTTTTGATAATTTACTTAAGGGAACAATAGAGATACTGAGTTGTTATAGTAGTGACAGAAATCTGAAATGTTGAGTCTGACAGGAAAAAATCCAATTTTTTTCTATGTTTCAGCTTTTTATTGTGTAAAATTTCTTCATGTATAAGAAATGAAGTCAGGCAAATAATTTGACCTTTTCTTCAGATTAAAATTTTCATCAAAATTAATGTGACTATATAAGGAAAGAATTCAAGCGTTTGGTAAAGTTTTTCTGAAATTATACATTTGGTTATTAATTGGCTACTTGCACTTTTAAAATAACTCTCCATAACAAATTCTTTTTGTTGTATAAAGCAGCTGCTCAGGATTAATGTCACGTCAATGTCTCAGGCTGCAGGAAGAGGATGGATGAGTAAAGCTAAACCTCAAATGTCAGTAAGCTTTTTATTTTTACAATAGAAAACTTTTGCAAGTGATCAAAACAGCTGTCAGGTTAGGTGAAAAAGGAAACTAATGACTTGAATGCTCTACTGTGGCTCCTTCCTTCCTTCCTTCCTTCCTTCCTTCCTTCCTTCCTTCCTTCCTTCCTTCCTTCCTTCCTTCCTTCCTTCCTTCCTTCCTTCCTTC